CCAAAGGTTGATGTAGGATGTTACTTACTGACGTAATATCATCCATTTTCTTTTCTTTCTTTCACTTTTTCATTTTTTTCCGGGGAAGTTAAGCAGCTTATATATTTGCGCGTGTGTGCATTGTATACGTAGAGTATACGCAGCGAAGGTAAATAAGTTGCACATGGTTTGATTAAGGATGAATAAATGCACGGAATAGAAATTGTTTGATTTTTAGGCACGAATGATATATAAATATCAGAGAAATATAAGAGGGGGGGGGGGGGGAAGAATATATAGTGAGTAAGGGTTGAAAGATGCGCGGTAATTTAATGGGTGAATGTTTTTATTGGTCGTTTAAGTCGAGAAACGTTTTATGCTGCACTTCACTGAGTGGATAGTGTAAATATACAGTCTGGAAAAGATTAGAGAACCGAGTTTCTTGGGAATTTCGCATGATTCACAGGAAAAATTGTTGTTAAATAACAGGTAGAAATATTATTTCCGTATAAAAATATTTCTGTCTCCTCAGTCGTGTTAATCTCGCAGCAATTCTATTTAATACAAAATGTAAAATTTATTTTGTTTATTTTTTAAATTTACGTCAAATAAAATCTTGGTTATGTAATATTGCTATCAAAGTAATCATGTTTGCCATAAACGTTGATCGTGTAAATGAAAAAATTTAAACACAAAGTCAATACTCCCACTTGAAATAAATACACTGTGTTTTGTAAATACACTGAAAATACTAAAATCAAAATTAAACAAGGATTTCGAGTATATAATTTAGGCAATCAATTAATTTATTTCTATATTGACAAACGCTACACCTTTGTGAAATGAAACATCCTACTCTCTATTGGATCATCTTAATCTAAATTCAGTAATGGCACGAAACTTAGCAACTCCTAAATAATTTTATACTAATAAAAAAAAAAAAGAAAAAATAGAAAAAGGAGAAAAAGTCGATATCTTCCAGTAGAAATTGTGTCGTATTCTTTATCAGATTCCGTCGACGCTCTTTATAAATAGAATTTCCGGGGTAAGTTCGGTTAAAAAACGCGGCGAACGTGATCCGCGTGCGAACGCGTGAACTCGCAGCCGGGGCACGCGTGCGGGAAGAAAATCCTCCGGGTACGGTGAAACTCGGGGAAAGAAGGAGGCTGCGAGCATCGCTTATGAATTTCAAATGATTTCTACTTGAGATTTCAAAGGCAAATTACCCGCGAACGCAAAACTTTCGGTGGTTCGGGGGGTATTCCGAGTATTCGTCGGGATTAACATCTTCTATTGCTCGCGAGGAACTGGGTCGAGAGTGGGATTATCGATACGAGAAAAAAGAAAAGACACGAAGACGTAGAGGACCGCGAAGGTTTAATTTTTGGCAAATTTATAAATAAATGGAGCTGGAAAGCGTGGCAAAATGACCACGATCAGTGAAAATGTAAGATTATGATGACCCTTTGAACTTCCCTTTAAAGCGTGACTCTATAGCAATTTTATTATAGGTACACCTGTGTTCAGTCACATTCGACATTTTTAAATATATCATCGATGTAATTATTAAAAAAAATTATTTGTTTAAATTACTTCTTGTTAATCAAACATATTTTGAAATTTATTTAAAATATAACACCTGATAAAATTAAAGAATTATTGAAACAAAAATTGAGAAAGGGTTAATTAGTTCAAAATTGTTAGTAATAATTTGAGATACATTAAGAATGGAATTATAAAGAAGGGGATGATTGATTATTTAATAAATTCACCAGTAATTTTTTCCAAATACCTATTCACATAATTTCTTTTATATGTATATTTTCTATACAAAGAGAAAAAATATGAAGATGAATATTTAAATATTTTATAGAATTAATTAGTTCATGGTTCATATAAGTGGAAATAAAAATAATTCGGTATTATAGAAAACTATATTTATACTTACAGCAAATGACGAGATACCTCACATTTCAGGATTTATATATTATACATATGTACATGTTCTTCTTATCGAAAGAGTTAAACCCATCGAGTTATTTTAACAGGATTTAAAGCCACAGGCGTTTGAAATTGAAACTAAGAATACTTTTATACTTGTTTCGCAGAGGAGCATAATACCCGAAATTATATCTAAGGAGAAATTGAATTTCTCGTAAGGCTAAACGTGGAATAGAATCTCTTAGCTGTAGCCGTAGAAGGGGATTGAAAATCGAGTCATCGGTTAAGGAAATAGCATTGATTGGCTGATAAATCCTTGAAGAAAAAAATTTCTGGTGGTGTCTCCTTCGATTGTTAAGTCGAATCATTCGACACCAATCACTCGATACTAATAAAAACAACGATCAATATCACTTGTATAAAGAAAGCAAGAAGAATCTAACATAATATAGTACACGCACAAGGTCCGTTATTTTCTACCAGACCCCGAAAGGTGAAGGTTGAAACAAAGAGTACGAGAACAAGCATAATCTATGGAATGACCAGGTAGATGAAATTTTTATCTCGGAATTCTTTAATTTTTGTTTTCCTTGTAATACACGCCTCGTAATTCTTACTTTAGCTTCAAGATCTTTCTCTGTAACAAGATTTTATTGATCCTTCACCGAATTGTATCTCGGTGTTCCCTTAGAAGTCGTAAAATTTTTATTCCTGTTATTTTTGTGAATTCCTGAATCGCCGCAATTTAGCTCTTAAGATTGCGTAAATCTTGCGAAATCTTTCCAAATATTTGTCATTTCCTCCTTTGTCCTTTAAATATTGCGAATCTTAATTATCCGAATAAATGTCAGCAAATTCGTTAACGTAAAGAAGCTTACAAATTCTGTTTGGAAACACAAAATACTCGGCTTTTTGCACAATGCTCGCTATACTTGTAAATTTAAATATACATTTAGTATACATTTAATATATATTAAATATAATGTACCCAGAAGATAATACCTAAAATGATACACTGCAAATAAATAACCATATATAATAATATTTCAGTGTTAAAAGAATTTGAAATTAATTTTTCCAAAACCAGCTTCACATTTTAACCTCAAAAATCAATGATCCTAAACCAGTCACTCCGACTAGCTGAGTAGTTCCAATCCGGCTAGTTAGCTCCCAATGGAAACTAGTCTGAATCCTGCAACACTAGTCGATCTCACGGAAGCTCGTCTCACAGGAGACTAATTGACAGACCCAATAAAAAGAGCCAGCCAAGAACATGTTTCCGAGAAACATCAACTCGACGAGTTATTTCAGAGAACACATGCATACTTAAGAATTCATTCCACGAACCTATCGGTTCCCTCTATGTTCTTTCGTTCTCTCTTCCGAACTTCTCCCAAAATTTTCTCGAAAGCCGGGTGAAAACGAGGGAAGGTGGTCCATGAAGACGAGAGTTTCCCTGGAACTATTCAAAATTCGAGCGAACGGTGTTGATCTCGTAACTACGTACCAGGCGCGACAATTCGATTACGAGTCGATGGAACTGCTGGCGACTCGCCGGCCCGTACAGCTGCGAATTAACCGCGAATTTTCCTTTGCATAATTGTTCGCTGGAAAACTGGATGCGCCGTTTCGCTGTGTTGGCTTAGCAAATTGCCGCGATAGAAGCGAAATATTTCCTCGGTGTGCGGGTAGTGACGTCATTGAAATCTCGTGGGCGTTGTGGAAGCGGCCTGTAACTACACGATAAAGCGCACCGAGTCCTGTTTGGAATTTATTTTCGCTACCCACCTCTCGTCCCGCGTATCCTACGACGGCAATTTTTATGAACATCCTTCCCCGACAATAGACACTAAATTTAGTTGCTCTTTTTTTACACCTCTGCGACCATCTTCATCTTCTTCGTCGTCAACACAGGTTCAGAGATAATAATAGGACGATCATACGTGAGGTCGCAGATGGCGCTGTCTGCGGTTTGGCTCTCTACCATCTCGCGTGATCTATGGCGGATACTACGGTAGTTTCGCTATTTTTGAGCAATTAAAGCGATATTGATCGAGAAGGGAAATTTTTAATGATTTGATAACGAATTGTTTGAAGTTGAATATAGTCAAGTGTATAATAAATTTGTGTAACAGTGGTGTCGAACTCATAGAGAAACATAGGCCGAAGACGAAGGAATCTATCAGAGAAAGGAATGTTAGCAAACAAGAAAAAATTATTTAATTATATTTCAAAATTTTAATTTTATATTTATCTTTTCACTTCCTTTCCCATATTTTTTTTTTTTTTTTTAAATTCCATTTTATTTATCATTTTAGTAAAACGCTGATATTGCTTTGCAGAGGTATCGCAAAGATTAACCCCTTGTCCTACGATTTAAGTTCTGATGGCACGTATTATAATCAACAGCAACGTTGGTCACAGGTTAAACCAGTTTGTGCGAATGCAGCCTGACTCGTGTTGTCTACGTTGGGCCTTATCCACGTATCTCACACGTGATACTCGTGTTTGGTCTAAATTCCTTCCCACGAGTCTCACACGTTATTGTAGGCAAAAGGGTTAATATAATTCACGTTGATAAAGGGAGATGAAACAATGTGTATGATAGAATTAAAAAGTGAAATTGTACGAAACGAATGATACAAGTAGGTTCATATGAACGGTTGAATTTTATGTACCTACAGGGGGAAATTGCTAGTTTTGGTGTTCCATTAGATAACGTTGCGTGGCGACGAGCTAAATTTAAATCAGTTAGCTAGCTGAAAATGATGTAATTCGAGGAATTAATTAAAATCTTCAAGGTTTAGCCTTGAAACTCGATGTTGTCGAATATATAGCGATAGTGACATTGAGGGGAAATACGAGATACGAATTCCCATGTTTTCAACCATAAAAGTCCTTTCCTTTGAATCCCCTTGAAAATTGAGCATGAAAAAATATTCGAATGAACTATCTAATATTTAAACAAATTTTTCTTAAACCTTTTTGAGAATTATTACTTGAAATTTTTCTTTTCAAGGATCTTTAAAGAACGAACAGAATAATTGAAGAAGAAGAGAGTACTGTAAACTTTATTTTGAAAAAAATGGACTAATTATATCATAATGCATTTTCTTACTGCATAGTACATGGTCAGGATTTAAAGGTTAAAGTACAATAAAGCACTCAAAGCTCTTTTATCTGTTTCTTGTCTACAATCATGTTCCTGATCGTTTAAACGTCACATAAATATACTCAAGCTTAATCAATTTTCTATGCCCTTCCTATTCTTTATCCCTACATATCCTGATTTTTCCAAAAACGCTATCGAAAATCGATAGGAAAATATTCGATCGATTATCGGATTATATAACAATTTAATCGAAACTACGCATTTTCGAAAAATGGCCCTGCGTTTGATAGTCTCCGTCATTGTTTCACTTGACTCGCAATGTATCCCAAGAATTGTATTCTAATTAAGTCAGTTCACTTCTGTGCAACGTAGTAGAAACAATGTTTGCTTTCGCGTAACTTTCTAGATAAAGGAGAGTTCCTCACAAAGAGGAACCTTCGAAGTTGAACCTCACGTTTAACAAATTTGCAACTTGCTAACGATAACTGACACAACGTTAAATAAACTACCTTTTAAATAATGACACATCGAAGACGTATAACGACTGAATTATTTTCAAAACAGCACGTGACACGTGACAAATATCGAAGTTTTCAAAAACACTTTGCAAATCATAAATTTCCTACATCTTAAGAAAATCGATTCAAAATAAATTCACTATTTAAATAAAAAATTGCCTAAGTCTTACGAAGAGAACGGAATGATAGTGTAACATCCATGAAAACAAAAATGACATTTAAAATTAAAGGTATCGTAAAAAGGTGAGAACAATTATCGAGTCACAATAATAACATCGAACGCAAAATCTCTTTGTAATAAAAATATTCTGAATTTTATTGCCTACATTTCCCCCTGACTTAAATTTCATTTAATCTCTATTCATTTCTCAGCTGCCGTTTTGAAATAGCTACTTCTTCCACTGTTGGTTATTTAGCATACTCGTGTTACTCGCGAGATGACCTGATAAATAACGCAAAGTGTAAACGACGAGATTGATTATTGATCGTGGCTTTTTCAATGTTTTCGAAGGTCAATTCCTTATACGTGGTGGTTGGGTCGTTGCTGCTCGGTGCAGTGGTGTTGGTTGTAGGCCTGGTGCAACTTGCACCTGGGGCAGAAGCTGCACAAAACTCGACCGCCCTTATTGTCGTCGGATGCAGCTTGCTGGTCGTCGGTGTGTTCCTCGCGCCACTCAGAGCTTTGTGCATCAAGAAACAAAAGGCTGCTCAGAAGGATGCAACGCATCAAAGAAGTGTCACCAGCATAGACATGCTCCTGGCCCAACACAGGTAAGGACAGATGCAGTACATCGGTTCTTTCATCATTGAAAAGGCACGAACGACTTCTACGAGTCGACTCGTTCAGCTATTCTTACAATTTTCATCGCCTCTTTTCTAAACTAGCTGTTCTTCCCATTTACTAGATCAAAATCGACGTAACTTTAATTCCTTATTCAGTTTTCGAATGAACGTAACTAAACGATAGAATAAAAATGTTTAATTCTTTCGATGAGACTTCGTATAATTAAAATTCAGCTTTAAGGCTGCACAGCAGTGGTTCTCAACATGTGTTGCGTGTAGCACTGATGTTGCGTGAAATATATCAAATTTGTAAATTGTTTAGAATATACAGTATGTTATACTGAATAAATACTATCTACAGAGTGGTGCATTAGTGGTATGCGAAAGACAGGTTGGGAACTGTTGATGTAGAAGATAATTGTTCCAAAAAGATGAATGAAAATTACGTAAACAATTGCTGACAAACGAAAACGATGGACAATCAGAAATTGCTCGAGTATCGAAATTAACTCTTTGCACTAGAGAGGTGAGCTTCAGTCACCATTTCATAAAATTTGGAAGATCGATATTAATTAACACTAGATTTACGGAACCCGTGAATTTGACGGAAGAGTTGCTCCAATTATGCGATGGTAACAAATTTAGTTAACTTATATTAAGACTGTTAATATAATATATAATTGTTTTTAAGTTAAACTAATCGTTAAAAAAAAAGGCACATGGTTTCCTTTACCTGTCAATTTGACAGGTGTCCTTAGAAATAGGTATACAGATAGCGTCCGTAAACCTAGTGTTAATATATCAAATTTAATGTAATGTGACAGTGTGCGAGGTGTGTGACAGTATACGATTCTTTATTTACTGCTGAAAAAAGTATCGTCAGTTTTTTAATAGAGAATCTTTGAATTTCTACTCTTCTTTAGCCAAAAAATCGTCGAGTGCAAAGGGTTAATTTACGATATTCCGTAAAAATTCAGAAGTCGATTATAATTGAGAAAAGGATGTACGGATGTATTATCGAAAGATAATATTAATATCGCAAAATCTTTCTTTCCCAAACAGAGACTTCACAGTCCTGACGCCGGACGAACTGGAGGACCTCGTCGGTCGACCGACCTCCGCCCTCGAAAACAAAATTCGCAAACAGGGACACAATACCTAGGTATTGTCGGCCTCGAAGAAGGCCCATTCATCGTCACCACCGTGCTCGAACACGCCATCGTCATCGACGTCGCCAGGAACTAGTTCATCCATACTCTACACGCATCGTTACGACTCTCGTGAACACAGTCTGGTTTAACGGAAGAAAACGAAGAAATAGGAAAAAAGAAACTGGCGTACCGTCAGCTTGACTTTTTAGAAATCAATTTTCGACTATTGTGCACGCAGCAAGAGCTGTTTCTTTCTACGAAGGTTGCACGCCTGCCTTTAGCTTGGTGCAAGCGGTATCCCTAAGGCGATCGAGTGAATATGTCACGGGTACAAGAATCATCACGTTGCTCTTTCAGTTGACAAGCACTCGCGATAGGATCGCCTACAGACGTAGTACAGCCGAGTTCTTTCCAATTGATTGACCGTTGTTGCTTCGTGGACTCGGGGTCCGATTGTTCCGAATACGTGCGAGAGATCACGCAGCGGAGTCTCGACGTGGATCGAAGAAAATTCGACGACGCGATTAAGGAAGATACTCGACCGAGTCGATGTGTGAACATGAGAACCGCACTACGGGAGAACCGCAACGTCATGACGGTGACGATAAACGACCGAGCGAACGACCCTTTCTGATCGTGATCCTTCTTCCTTCGCAAATCAATTGGACGAATCAGAGTGCTTGCAACGAGTTTCATCGGTGAAAAGACTGGGTGCGTATGGGATTCAATTCGCATAAAATGAAGCAAACGGGACCTAATTATCGGCTGCCTTCCTTTGATCGTCGTTCAGAACTCCCTCGATTCACTGTAGAATCTTTCTTTCTCAAGCACGTGCGGACGTTTCCATTTGTTTCAGGGCAAAGGTACACCTGCTTCCTCGCGAACGTTTCCGTACACGAATGTTTCAACGAGGATAACCGTGTAACGTGTCTTAAGCACAGTCGATCCCGTGATCGTTCGTTGGCTCGCGAATCGTCGAGGATCGCGAAAGTGCAAGCGGATTAAGTTTCAACTGAGTCCGTGCACTGCTCGTCTCTATATAAGAGTAAGATCAGCATCTCGACTCGATTCTACGACCTGTACGCGCGATCCTCTAGACCCTAGAGCCTAGAGGATGATCCGCCTTTCGTTGCACTCGTTCGAGACTGTGCCAATGACGAATCTAGTCATTCCTCGAACGAAGAACGTTCGCAGTCGAGGTGTCCAGGCTGTTACTCTCGTATGAAACTTCGTCCGAAGTATCTTCGACGAGGTTAAAGATCGGATTAGGATCTACGTGGAAGGATCTATTTAATCGAATCGTCATCGGGAAGACCTAAAGGCTGCTTCACGGCTAACGATCACTGAAGGATTTCGATTATTCGGAACATCGTTTACCACAAGAGACCAAAAAAGCAATTTCGTTCGAAACTTCATTGTGTTCAAATCGCCAAGATACAAGTCTGACTTTCAAGTACGTTTAAACGTTATTTAAAAAATAAAGACGAAAAAAAATATATATATATCGATTGATCGATCGACGTGCCGCGGAGGGAGAGAATATCGTGTATCATAAAGTTTTTTGTATGAGAAGTTAGATTAATTATGGCACTTTATTAATTCATTGCAACTAGTCACTTCATTGGGAGAGGGAGAACATATGAGGGGAGAAAGAACGTGACGCGAGGTAAAGTGGGAAGTTAATTTTGAGCATCGATGACGCGAGATGCTTATAAGGTGCGATTTGGAAACGATCAAGCGAATCACGTAGCTTGGAGCGGCCTTGTTACAGTCAACAAACACCCTGCAGATACTCGCAGAATATTTTTAGTCGGGTCTTCATGCCCGTTCACTTGCCAGTAATACATTTAAGCGAATAACTCTCACACTATAAGTATCTATCACCGCATGATATACTTGCACATATCTTCGAGTAACTAAGTAGTAGCTGTAAATTGAATTTGGAAAAATACAGGGGGACGGGGGGTTACAAGGGGCAATCTTTTGCACGAAACAGTGTGACGAGAGTCGACGGCTCGCAGGAGTTGCTCCTTAACCGAGGGAGAGCCATATCCAACGTCTAATTAACCTTTTTCGAACGAGAAGGAACTTACGAACGAGTTAGAGATTACTTCATTCGGCCATTATTAGGTGATTACGATAATCCGCCTAGCGTTACCTTGCACGGTTTCTTTCACATCCATCTGCTCCTCTACAGCCACGCATACACCAGACAACCTGAGAACATATTGAGAAAACGACAGTTACTTTCAGATATCGAGTTCCTGCTAAATTGTCACGACAATGTCTTGTCAATACTGTCTGTGTTCGATGAGATACGTCTCGAAGGGCAAAAACGGGATAATTAAACGGAGAAAAAAAGAGAGGAAAGACGAGGGAAGCGAGAACGAAAGTCCGCGTTCTCGCGAACATTTGGATAGTTTAAAAATACGAAAAAGGAGAAAAAAAAAAGAAAATACAGAACATAGGGTGACCGAGTGGAAGTTTGCTCGGGACACTTCGTGGACGTTCTAATAAGCTAATGAATTTTACGAGCGACGATATATTTCATAAAATATTTTTATGACCGACGAATTCGATGAGAGAGTTTAAGGAACAAAGCGAGAAGAAAGGTTTGCGATATACATACATATATAGATATATACGTATACATGTGTCTTTTAAATTAGTCATTCATTTCACCGGCGTTTGTGTACAGATATATGATTGTACGTGATAATTCTGTACTGTACCTTAGATCGTGTCAGGATTTTCTGTGCTTCATCGGGACACCGATACGTTGGTTCACGCCACACCCGTTTCTATGATTTCCGGCATCGTTCAATGCGAATTTTCACCTCGCCGATCACCGACACGGGGTTCATACCTCACCAAAGGGTGTTTTCAACAATCTTCATCGCGCAACGATACGTCGTGTCACGATACCAAGGGATGACAGAGACGAATGTGACGCGGCTCATCCCCGTGATGTGTCCGTTGAACGAGATCGTGGAACAGGGTATGTAAGACTCCATTCCACGAAGTGATCGTGGAAATTTCTGGTTTTCATTGATCATTCGAACACGATCGAAATTCGACTCGTCGAACACGTATTCGCGACCGGAAGAACCAGGTCGCGAACACTGAAACATACCGGAAGACGAATATTAATAAATGATGTGCTTCATATTACGAAACATAAATCGATGTTTAGGCTTAGTCCATAGGCGTTAAGGCTGCTCGTTCGTGTGTTAAAGGGAAAAAGAAGATACTAAATGGGTGGAGTGAACGAGACTCTCGAAGGGGGATTAGATATTGTCGAATTTAGGAATAATTGCTCGAGAAAAACGATCGTATCGATCCCAGAAAGGCTGTTAGAATCATATTACATTTTCTATTTCATGAGTAATATAAATGATAATTCACGTGCCAGGGTTCGACACGCTCAGGCTATGGTGGATGATCCGGCTTGTTCTATTCGAATAAAATGAAAATATTATTCAAACAGGAGAAAATGCGTGGATTATCGTTCGATAGTTTAATCTTAGAATTCTTATAAATTTTAATATCGATCTAATATTAAAGTATCAATGATGACTTCGAAGAAATATTACTATGTTATTTTCGAAAACAATTGTATTAAAATACGACTATATTTATAAAATAATTCAATTGTTATATCCAACATACACGATCGTTCAAAATTTCATTGTAGAACGATGTAGTTACAACAAATTTTTTTACCTGCTATTAATCGATTACTCACGATCAGTCAAAATTTAATTAAAATAAAATAGATCACGATATTCGAAATTTTCCCATAAGAAAAAGTTAGCTCGCGGTTAAAATTTCGGTTTCGTTTATGAGATCCTAAGATGTAGAAATAACGAGATCAATTGACAACCTCCACGTTTCGAACGTAAAAATAATTCGCGTCAAACAATTTAGTTCGAATTTTTCGCGGAGGAAAAGGGTGAAACTTCGTCTTTATGCATAACACGTGGTCTCCTTTAAAAATAATTGTTTAATATTTGATCTGTCTCGTATTGATCGATAACCACCGTCGCCTGGGCGTACACTGTGAATCCGGGCACACGATCATCGCGAGTAATCTATCGTTCGAAATTTTTACCAATGTTTTCATTGATGGCTCGTATGGTGTCCTTTCCTAAAGCAGAGAGAGAAAGCAAAGGAGAAAGGAGAAAGACGACGAATTCGTGCTTACAAGCGTAAAACTTTAAGTAACATTACGTCATGTTTCATTGGGAGTAGGAGTGGATGCAGCTTAATTAATCACGTTTGTTTACGTAAAAATCACTAAACGAATTACGATCGGTTTCGTTTTCAATGATCGCTAATAATCGTAACGATAATGACGTAAGATTAACCGATAACACTACGTAACTAACGTAAGTTACTATAAGGAAACATAGAACGTGGATAGAGGACTTAGCGTTCATTTCGAGTAATTCTCGAGCAAACAATTCACGCCTGCAACAACTCTTTTCCTTCAGTTCACCACCGATCGACGTGGTTTCGTAAAGCAAATCCTTTTTGATCCTCGACTGATGATGCGAACCCGAAACGGATCGCGTTGGCTCTTTCGTGACGAGCCGAAAAATGCAGTGGTCGTGTTGCATTCGTTAACTTCGAGTTCCGCGGTCTCGTAGCATAATCGATTCGGGCATAACGCGGGACGACAACTGGTTTAATTACATAAAGCATCGATTCTCCTTCACCCACTTGCATAACCGAAGTTTCGTCTCATTAATTAAGGATCAACGAGGTAGCGCGTACGTTTCTTTTATTTTTATTGCAACGAGCGATGAATTTCGAAAGAAACATATCTATCGAGCAAGCGATACGTAGATAACTATTTTTTCATTGCCACTAGTATATACAGCTGAGAAGAGTATAAAACAGGGGAGGAGAAGAAAAAAAAAAAAGAGGAAAGGGCGATTGAAACGACGCTAGATACGCCGCTACCGAACATTCGTTTGTTGTCGAACGACATCCCATTTCGCTGAGATTTCCTTCTACAGTGAGAGATGTTTGCCTTAATTTATAAGATGTCCGCTTCCTTTACATATATGATATATCTTAGGAAGAGTTAGCGAAGACGAATAG